CTTGGGCCGAGCTGATGAACGGAGGATGCTGGTGATAAATGAGTCAACACACGCAGCAAGACAGGATTCACCCCATGGTGTGTGTGTGTGTGTGTGTGTGTGTGTGTGTGTGTGTGTATGTTTAGATGAGGCACCGGAGTCCCCCAAGCCAAAATCCTTCCGAAGCTGAATTGTGTGCGGATAAATCCAGGTGCATATATTTATGTATGCGGTTGTGTAAGCAGCATTAAAGGAATACTCCACCATTTTTCAAACTAATGTCTATCCACTCTATCTGGAGTGTACATTTGATTACAACATACAAGAAGTTCAATGTTTCCTTGTGTGGAGAAAAGACCTGAAAAACTGTTTTCTCAAACTTCACGTGCAATAGAAGTCTAAGGGGCAGATGTTGAATTCTGTTCATATTTTTAGAGAAAGTCTTTACCAATTCGTCAAGGAATAGAACCCTGAGGAAACCCACACAGACATGAGGAGAACATGCAAAACTCCACACAGATGGTAACCCAAGCTCAGGATCGGACCGTCGATCCTTTGAGATGGCAGTGTTACCACCACCATGCTTCACATTTTATGCAAATTAAGACCTACAGTTAATTTGCATAATTTATGCACATTTTTCAGAGGGAAGAACTTGCATTCTTGGTTAATCTAGCTCAGTTTTTACACAGAAATATTGCATAAATAATCCGAATTACTTCTTACTGTAGTATTCCAGTGTTGAAAAGATAGATAAAACTGAATAAGAACAATTTTCATAAGACATTTTCTTACAGGCCTCATATGATCCAACAACTGCCCTTAGATTTTCATTATTATAAACATATTTTTGTTCTTTTCCCAGTACACAGGGAAGCGTGTTGAAATTCTTGCCCGTGGTGATCACACATACTCTACAGATGTGGTGGATAGAGATTAGATTGAAAAATGGTGGAGTATTCCTTTAATGAGTGAGTTCCCAAGCTGCTGTTTTGCTAAATAGTTGTGATAGCTAGATTTTGGCACTTTTGTTTTTGGTGAGATTTCTGGGTGGACCTCTTTCTATACGTGTGTGTATCTCTCTCCACACACACACACACACACACACACACACACACACACAAGCATAAAAATCAGAGAGATGTAGAACAGAAGAAATGAGCGATGAACAGCAGAATGAAATCGCACAAGAACGATGTCCCCGACCTCCCAGAGAACTGATAAAGCAACGAGAAAGAAGAATGTTTAGCGCAGCCGAAAAGACAGCATGGGGGGGAAAAGAGCAAAAAAGTGAAGAAAAAAAGGATAGTGAAAACAAACTGGGACAAGAAGCGAATGAACAGAGTGCGAGAGAATGGATGGAGGGAACATACCGGGGAAGAAAGAGTGCGAGAGGAAACTCATTTTTGTCTGCCACAGATCCAGTAGCGCTATAATGAGGTTTCACGGTGTCATATCAGAGATGCCTGCGAGTCAACAATATGGAACAGAGAGCATACACACACACACACACACACAATATTCATTCTCTTTTTTCGTCGCATCCGCTCCATTGATTCTGAAAGCAATCCCTTGCTTTGTTTTAGCAAGACATGTGTCTGTGTTCGCTTTTGTGTCTTATGTGTACAGCATGATGGAAGAGTCACAAACAATACAACATTGATGTGAAATTGAAATATTGTGTGCCGCATGTTTCATTCAAATGATGCACACATCCCCAACACAATGTTAATTATCCTCTCTTAATGACCCTGTAAGGAATAAAACACAAAGGAGAAACGATCACCAAGGACATCAGCCCAAAGCTGATTATATTCCTATAAGAGCACATCCCGTGAAAGTGTTTTATTCCTTATATACCATAGCAGTTTACCAACAATTAAAGATGCAGCAGTTGATTTTTTTCCTTATTTTCAAATAACCTGGAAGATATGTAGAACATGGTTTAAAAAAAAAAAAAAAAACAACGGGTTAAACCATGGCCATAGCCAAAGTTCAATAAGTGGCTGAGAAATCCCGTTTGAAAAACTGACTTCTGGTCCGTATTCCTTGTTTGTGTTTGGATGCGTCTCTTGTCAGTCATTTTATAGACATTTTTATATGGGCCACCTACAGTCCTGAGGGCGGAGCTTCATGTATATGGGTGGGAATAATTCAAATGTCAAACCCAACAAACCTTTAGAGACCTAATCTTGAAAAAAAAAGACTAATCTTACCTATTGCACCTTTAAATTTTTTTAATTTGTTTAAGAACAGCGCTTATTTTTAAAATCCATGTATAGTTACATTTAATGTTGTGGAACATCCATGAAACAAGTTAATTCCTGGTATCAGTTACGTTATAGCAGCTATAAAAAGTCATTCCCTCACCAGCCTTGATGTTTTTACAGCTGGTCTCTCCCGAGTGCCACAACAGAAAAAGCGTTCGCCCCAATATCAGGTTGGGAGGGATCACAGTGTCAATCACAGTGACACTAGCCAATCATGGGCATCTGTGAGCGCATGTATGTGGAAGACGGCGGATAGCGCTTTTCTCCGAGTGTGATACGCTGCTAAGTGACACAGCATTAAAAAGATACAGTAGGCTCGCTTCACGTGTCTCAGAGGAAGCATGTGACTGATTGTTAGCTGTTGTGTGATTGGATAGAGCTGGTTGGAGGGTGGGAATGACCAAATGACCAAATTGGGGAGAAAATGGGTTTAAAAAAAAATACAGCTTGTCATGTTACAGAGAACATCTTCATCCTGGAGACTTTTCAATGATGAAAAACTTAACCTTACAGTGTTTTCTTTGACTGTTACCAAACACTGACACTGGAGACTCCTTCCAAAATGCTTCCAAAGTCTCCTCACCAAGAACATTTTTATGGGGCTTGTGTGTTCGCCATGTAAGTTCTTGTGTAAGTTGTTACTATAGAAACGATAACGTATTAGAACGAGCGCATTAATATAAACCTGTGATTTGCCTTGTAGCCGGAACTATTGTCAGAGTTGCTATTATAGAAAATTAATCAACACCTTTTGACCAATCAGAATCGAGAATTCAACAGAGACATGGTATAAAACCTGTTATTGAGTGCATTAGTATGATATTACCCTAAGAACAATGAATAAGAATTCAAATTCATTAAACAGTATTAATTTGAAATAAAATCAGGTCCTTGGAATCGACTCCGGCTTTTAGGCTTTACTGTATGTAAATTATTTAAATTAAATCAAATAGTGTCTTAGTTGCTGGTCTATAGTACAAATAGTATGATAATATGGTTAGTGTTAATGCAGTAAATATGAGATGAAGTACTCCAAAGAAACATAATGCAGTTGGGTAATTTCAGTCAAACAAAGATGGTGTCCAGATACAAGCGAGATACAGAATCACACACACTGCCTTGACGTCATGCATGAAACACTGATAGCCAATGAGCTGAAATGTCATCCACCATGATTGTTTTGTTCATGAGAAATCCCAGGTTCGGAGAGTTGGGATCATTGGTTGGGACTCATGAGCATAATCTGATTTGGAACAAAAAAAAAAAAAAAAAAAATTGGCCAATTCTGTCCTTAATCCTGGCGTCTCAGATTTTCAGTATCAGTTAGTGATACTATAAATCTTGCAATGTAATCAAGCTCAAGAGACATAAAAAGCCAAAAATAGTGGTGTAATGATATACCAGCGTACTTATCCAGTCCATTAAAAAATATTCTAGAAGGTTCCATAACCGAATAATTCAATACTCACCCTGCAGCTACATTTAAAATTTAATGCTCTCTCAGAAAATCTAAAGTTGTAATCAGATACTATGATGTACAGTAAGGGGGAAAAAGTATTCGTACACTTTTGGTTTTGTTATGTAATATACTTCCAGTGCATATATCCACTTCCTGTTTACACATGTGACGTCTTTTGAATTTGCATTTATAAATATGAACAAAAAAGTATGTAATCATAATCATAAACGATAAAAGATATGTCTGGTTAAGGGTGAGACATGATATATAAACCATTATAAATAAAGGTTACATAAAAATAATTTTTTTTTGCACCTGGGGTCATTATGAAAGACGTTGCCATTGGTTGGGAAGATTTTACGCAACAAGTGTCAATCATGGTGAAAGTGATTGAGTTGTTAAGGACAGCATTATTAAACAGCACTCGAATGGAAAGTGCTATAGAGCCATAGCGAAGATCTTTACCATCATTTTCAGTACAAATGGTGCAATAATATGCAGGGCAGAAAGTTGGAAGCACAAGTAATCCTCCCAGGACAGGTGCATTATACAAGGTTCCACAACGAACTCTTGGAGTAATGATAAGGAAGGTAAGAGAGAGGAGACAGCAGTCACTTGAAAAGAGTTGCAGGACAACCTGAAAGCAGCACAAAGTACAGTAACACAGAGAACAATAAGCAATGAAGTGCACTACAATCATCAAACAATATTACTACAATCAGCAAAATTCCTCTTTTGGAACAATATACTCTGGTCAGAAGAAACAAAAATAAAACTCTTTTGCAATAATTCATCTCGTCATGTTTGGGGAAAGAAGGGTTATGCGTATGATCCACCATACCACCATACCCACAGTGAGGTACAGAAGTGGAAGCATCATGATATGGTGCTGCTTCTCTGCAAAATTTACCCGGGTATTACACACCATCAAAGGAACCATGAATGGAGAGATGTCCCGGGACACGTTTGAGGAGAAATGAATCTCATTGTCCAAGAAACTGAGGAGAAGATCAAACATACAGCCAAATTAACTCAAGACAAAAAAAAAAAAAAAAGAAGGTGAAGGCCTGGCCTTGGCTGAAAATGTATGGAGGGTGTTGAAATTGCTAATCCATCAGACAGAGACTCGTAACCTTGGGGAATTGAAGATGATTTGCCAAGAGGAATGAGCCAAAATGCAACCACAATGCTGCAAAAACATGAGTACTTCGCATCATAGATGTCTCGAAGCCGTAATTATATATAATTACAATATATAACAATATATTGTATATATTAATAAGTAACTGTGGGGCAAGGTGGCGTAGTGGTTAGCATGCTCACCTTGCACCCTGGGGTTGGGGGTTCGATTCCTGCCTCTGCCCTGCCCAAATGGCATTTGCATTTTCTTCCCATGCTTCGGGGGTTTCCTCTGGGTACTCCAGTTTCCTCCTCCAGTCCAAAGACATGTTTTGTCAGCTGATTGGCATCTCTAAATTGTCCGTAGTTTGTGAGTGAGTGTGTGCGATTGTGCCCTGCAATGAGTTGGCACCCAGTCCAGGGTGTCCCCTGCCTTGTATCCCGAGTCCCCTGGAATAGGCTCCAGGCTCCCCGCAACCCTGTGCAGGATAAGCGGTACAGAACATTGGTAGATGGATGGATTAATACGTAAGTCAAAAAACATTATGTTTGTAAATTTGAATTTGATACACACACTGGAAGTATATTAAAATACAAAAAAAAAAGTGTCCGGATACTTATTTCCTCTCACCAAATAGCAAGATCAAAATGCTTTGCTTAAGATGTTATGAGAATATAATGGAATGTGATTTCAGCACTTCAGTGCACACCCTTTTCTTCGTTCCGTCCCCCCCTGATATCTCATTCTGGTATTAAATCTTGGTTTTAAGCCGTCAAGCACAGAGAGCGGTGCGGGAAAAAAAAAAAACTCAACACGCCAAACCTCCATTAGCGACCAACGAGAGAGGATCGATCCTGTGATATTTCTGCTCCGTGGAGATTGCTGTGTGTGTGTGTGTGTGTGTGTGTGAGCATGTGGCTCTGCGAAGGGTTATGTAGGTTGCTAGGCTATCTCACACACACACACACACACACACACACACACAAACAAACACACACACACAGACAGACAACATTAGTAAGGTCTCATGTTTGATCAGACTGGTTTTGTATGTTATAAATCTTGAACCGAAGGAATGTTAATGACTTAAGTGCTATAAGTCAGGAATATGAGAGCGAGAGAGAGACAGACAGAGAGAGAGATAGAGAGAAAGGGTAAGAAGGCCAGGGATTGAGACAGATGGAGGAAGCAAAATGGTAGCAGAAGAAGAGAGATGGAGGGATTGAGTGTTGCTGTGACAACAAAATGTGGCATTTGTGTGGGTTTATTTTTCACTCTTCTCTCCAGCTTTTCCTCTAACTCTCTCTCTCTCTCTCTCTCTCTCTCTCTCTCTCTCCCCCTCTCTTTCTCTTTTTCTTCTAGTGTCTGTTTAATCCGCTGTTCTATGTTCGCAGTTCTTTAAAATGTGCCTCCGTGGCCTCCAACCATCAGCTCCACCCTCTGCTTGTCACAGAGATTCACACTCACATTTCACACACAAAACGACACCAAAATACACACACACACACACACACACACACGCACACACACACGCATAGCCAGAATCAGCAAACCTAAACAGCGAACATTAACCTTCAATTTCTAAAGATACTTATATAATTTTGCTTGAGAAATCGTTTGTTAAGATGTATTGCTCATAGGAGACTGGCCACTTTAATAGGAACACTGGTACTTCTGCACATTCATTCAATTATCCATGCAACCAATCATGTTATGGCGGTGCAACGAATAAAATCATGCAGATAAAGGTCAAAAGCTTCCGTTAATGTTCACATCAAAGATCAGAATGGGACAAAAAAAATCTCAGTGATGTCAGTGTCTTGGACTGTGGCATGGTTGTTGGAGCCAGACGGGCTTTTTATAGTATTGTAAGTATTAAAAAAACTCCAGTCACAACAGTCTCTAGAGTTTACAAAGAACGGTGCGAAAAACAAAAAAACATCCAGTGAGCGGCAATTCTGTGGTCAGAAACGCCTTGTTGATGAGAGAGGTCAGATGAGAATGGCCAGACTGGTTCATGAAGGCTACAGTGACTTAAATAACCACTCTGTACAGCCATGGTGAGCAGAAAAGCATCTCAGAACACATAATACACCAAACCTTTGAGGCAGATGGGATACAACAGCAGAAAACCACATCAGGTTCCACTCCTGTCAGCCAAGAACAGGAATCTGGAGCTACCCTGGACGAAGGTTCGCATAAACCGGACAGTTGAAGATTTTCCTATAACTGCACACCTTGTTGTGTTTTATTCCTTACCTATCATCTGACAAACAAGATGTTGGGCAGTAACTGTAAAACATGCAGCATATGTTCTCAAATGTCACTTATGGCTCATAACACACATCTGGTGTGTGTATACACAGTACTGTGTGTTTGTGAGATGGTGTGTGTGAACCCACTCTCAGTTGCAGGAATGTTGCAGTGACAGAAATGAGAACTCGCCCGTGATTAAGTGACTTGCGGGGCTGTGTTAATTGCGTACATAAATACGCACACCCGTTCAGCGGAAATTGCAGTGTAAGGTGCTTTCATTTTGACACCACGCGCTATTTCATCGCTTCAGAAATCAAAAGCGAAGCATCTACTCTCAGCAGCTCATTACAACGAGCCAATCTGTCCCAGGTCAATTTTGAAAAGGCCCACGAGAGGCGGCGGTTTTTCACGAATGCTTACATATCGGTATTTCACAGCAGCATATGCTTCTTCTTAATAACTACAGCTCACTTGTGTTCTCCCTCAGCCATCCGTGCTGAACTCTACACTTCAGCTGCAAACTCCAAAGCAGTTCACACCTAGCTTCATTTCTGCTTGTGTATATTTTATCATCAGCTCTCCATGCTGAGACAGAAAATGCATAAAATTAAAAACAGAACTTGGACCTAATCAGGAAAAGCCTTTCAGAGTTTTTCTCTATAATTGTAATGCTGGCACAGAGTAAGAAAAATGAAGCCAAAAGGTCATTTTCTATAGCCAGTATAATGGATTTATTACTTATTACGCAGAAAAACTACCCAATAAGTTGTAGTAGAAATCCTTCTACGCACCACGAATGAACATTAATACACACGTGAATAAAGAGAGAATAGCGCTGGAGTTAGCGCCAAACAAATTCAAAATGCAAAAGAGTTCATGCACATTGGTGCGAAAAACAAAAAACATCCAGTGAGCAGCTGTTCTGTGAACAGATGAGATAGATCAGAGGAGAATGACCAGATTGAATCGAGCTGAAGGCTACGGTCACTCAAATAACCACTGTTTACAACCGTGGTGAGCAGAAAAAGCATCTCAGAATAAATGATACCTCAAACCTTGAGGTTTATCTACCACTCCTGGCAGCCAAGAACAGGAATCTGAGGCTACAGTGGATCCAGGCTCACCGAAACTAGACAGTTGACGATGAATGTTGATTTCTGCTACAGACGGAAGGGTCAGAATTTGGCGTCAACAGCATGAATCCATGGATCCAACCAGCAACCTGTCTGTTCAGGCTGGTGGTGGTGGTGTAATGGTGTGGGGAAGGTTTTCTCAGAACATATTGCACCGTAAATACCAATCGAGCATCATTTGAATGTCATAGCATACCTGAATATTGTTGCTGACCACGTGTATCCCTTTATGGCTACAATGTACCATCATGTAATGGCTACTTCCACCATGATAATGCACCATGTCACGACGCACAAGTTGTCTCAAACTTTGGCATGTAGTAGAAGTGTGGTAGGAAGTTAAAAATGAGATGAGTGTTTAAACAACGGGTGTTGCAACATTTACTCGTTATTAACGTGACGAGTGTAGGAGGCTGGATTCTGTCGCGGACTGACGAATGAACACGCCCACATACACATCAATAGGATTATACATACAGGAAACATACAGGATGGCTTCAAATACGTTTGTGGAGATGGAGAAAAGTAAACAATTCATGCTAATGGACAGCAAAGATATCACCTCAAGCTCACTTTGAAGAATGATTTTGTATATGCGTGCCAGTTTTCAGAAATAAGCCCAGATCGCACTGATTGATGATGTAAACAGAACGTACAAATTTTCTTTAATCACAGGTCTATCGTAAGAGAGTCTTCATCGTATAATCTGACATGGAGAATGTGTTATCACGCAGTCTGTTATAGGAGTGTGAATAGTTATAGGAAAAATTTAGAGTAATAGAAATCTCGTACCTTAATCTTAAAAGACTGCAGAAATCCCGTAATATAAAACTGACTTAAGCTAGAACACCTAGACACGCCCCTTTTTTCTGATTGGTTGGATATTAGTAGTAAAGAATCAGAATAAAAAAGTTTCCTTTGAACACAGCTGCTAGAAAGTGAAAGCAAGAAAGCTTGTAGTAATACAAAGAGAAAGCATTCACAGGCACACACACACACACACACACACATACAAACTAGCTAACACTTTCTCTCTCTCTCTCTCACACACACACACACACACACCCTTACACACAGCACTGCTTATTAGACTTCAGTCCCCCATAATCCTTAGCCTCATGCCATCAGTGTCACTCAGCATTTGACATTTCCTACCATTTTCTCTCTCTCTCTCTCTCTCTCTCTCTCTGTGTGTATGTGTGTGTGTGTGTGTGTGTGTGTGTGTGTGTGTGGTACTGTCATGACTGACATGCTTGCTTCCTACTGTCATCTTCGCACATCAGAAAGAAGTGTAAACCCAAGTTAACGAGTTACACATATATGATATGTCACATGTGGTGAACGAATGAAAGAATAAATAAACAAACAAATAAATAAATAACAGTTAAAGAAATAAAGGTGTGATCTGCCAAAACATAAAATGTACACAATTTTCCCCTCACCTCAAATATCTGTCACTTTCTTCTTTACTTTTTCACTGAAGCTACAAGGAGGCCAGTGCAGCTAAGGCTACCAGTTTAGCATCATGCGTAAATAAACACTTTCTGACACTGTATGACAGACTAGTGTGTGTGTGTGTGTGTGTGTGTGTGTGTGTGTGTGAGGTTTTCTTCTTTACTTGTGCACTAAAGCTATGAGTCTACTACAGCTAACATGTAATGAAAGTCTATGGCTACCAATTTAGCACCACGCAAACTGTATGTGTAAATCATCACTCAAATGCCTCTTTCTGACACTGTGTGTGTGTGTGTGTGTGTGTGTGTATGTGTGTGGGTGGGTGTGTGGGTGTGTGAAGTTTTTGGTTTGTGGTGTTAAGTGACACAATGATTTAACATTCAAGAGATGTTGCATATGT